ATTACTGTACCACGGAAACAAGGACTTATAAATTTATTGAAAGAGAAAGGAATAAATAAAGATGATAGTTGTAATACATAAAAAAGGAAACAATTCATTAAAATGTTAAGAATTGTATTATTATTATTGTTGGGCAATTATACGGAAACATAAACATTTTATATTCAATTCAATTAGAGAAAGAAAGTTAGTTTTCGATGCAAGATCAACATCGGCACCAATAAAACCATTGTCAAAATTCAATTCTGCAATCAAACCCCATTTTTCAACTTTTTTTGCTACTTTTTAGGATATAACAAAAATATATTATTTAATGATATTTTTATCAACAGATTTTTCTCTGATGAGTTCACGTAACCTCACAACAATTTTATGATCGTCAAACATTTATTTGACCTAAACATGGGCCTCATTACTCCAAAAATGGCCAGTTTTACGTTTAAGCTATAGAAGTCGATTATTCAAATGGCCATAACTATGTAAATTTTTATCCAAAATACTTTCAATTTATATAAGACTAACGCTTCAAATCTACACTTTAAGAACTTTGGGCTAAAAGTGTGCCACGCGCCATCACTATTAACGACCCACATTTGTGCCATACTGCTGTGACTGAGTTTTTTATTCACTATTAGGCTGCAATGAGCATATTTGTAGAGACATTACATCAAGGTTGGAAATTACTAGACTTTATAGAACACTTCATTGCAATTGGAAGGCCAAGAGCCATTTTTCCTCTTCGTTTCGGAGCGGGCAACAGTGCTCATGTCATCGCCCCCGCCCCCTGCCCCGCGCTTCGCTGAAGGGGCACGCTCATTAGTGCATTCTGAAAAGCCACCCTTTCCTTTTTCAGATTTCTTCTGCATTTCAAAACCTCAGGTAATGATTATTGACATTTCCATGTGTAAGCATTAGATAGTCAAAAACGTAAGCGGCACACGGCAGATTTATAAAACTAATCACTTTTCAAACCAATTGTTCATCTTGGTTGTTGCAATAATTTATAGTAAAGATTTATTACTTTTATGTGACAGCGTGATGTAAAAGTAAGTAGTATAAAATTGTGTATATGAAGTTTAGTTATTCTATTTACTTCAGTTCTGGCGTAAATAATGTCTATAAACTACACATATTATGGTAAACTCTGAGTAGTACGCGCAGGTGCTTTGTCTCTCATTCCACCGAACTAGGTGAGACATCGGCTTCAATCTGGTTGCATTACAATAATGAAAGACAAGACTATTTACCGCTCTGATGGTTTTTCCATAGCGATATCTTGGCCAGGCCGGAAAATTATGGATATTCTTGCGTCTATCTCCCTTATAAGCAATTATCCAGATTAAACGAAGTTTGGAGCATAAGGCATGGCAACTATTGTTTTTTCTAAGAATATGAGTACTGGTGGAAAAGGTGAAATACTCAGATGAATAACAAGGTATGGCTTCAGAGAACGCATAGACATTTACCGACACACCAAAATTGCGTTTCGCATATTTATTAAGATATTTGAAATAGAGTTGGTTTCATGTTTCAAAGCACTTAATCGTATACGAGTTTACAGCACTCCCCATGCATTACACACCCAGTCTAAAGGCCCAATGAGGTACTTGCTAGATTACCGCACGTGCCACGTTGGTCGGAACGCGAAAAGTACTCACATTTTCGAAATATTGTACATGATCTTATTTCAAAATCTATCGTTTACAAGGAGATTTCATTAAGGGAAAGAATATCTACCTTTAATATTTTAGTTGTAGGAAGACCCCCAAAAAAATGTTGAACTTTTGTGATTTCCGAAAAATCAGGGTTTTCGACAAACATAAGACCTGTACCATTCTTTTAGATGTCCTACAGGCTATCCAACAACAAAATCAAATCAAAATCGATGGAGCAATTTTTTTTTTAATTTGGATAATATCCCAGAGACTTCATGTAAAGAACTCCCCAAATTTAAAATATCAATTTCAAATTCAAGGTGCCGTTCCATCAGTCTGATCTATTGCGAAATATCAATTTGGAGAGAAATCAGCTGAACAGTTCAGCCTCTAGCGTTGTTCTCAGACGTTCTGGACAGACGTTTTGGCGTCATTCGATTTGTCGGCATCAATGACAAAAAACATGGATTGTGTCTACACCACGTGTTAGAGAATTTTTGTATGTAGCCACCAGATTCATCTACTTTTTTGTTAACTGTAATAAAAGTTTTTTTCTGCCGAAAATTCGCCATTTGTTCGCGCAGCATTACACAACCTTCTCTCTACTCCGTAGCGAGAAAGTACAACTGTAGTCGTGACTTCTGCCCCAACCCTCGAATAAACTCAGAAAAATTAGCGATTTCGACGCCCTAGCAGCCCACTTCCGCGACTCGCCGCGCCGCAGCAGCGCTGCCTCGGTCCCTGTTGCGTGGGCGGCGCGGCGTCCGCTTGGCCGACGGGGAGGGGCGCAAGGCCGCCGCGCCGTGGCCACACGGGAAGCGGGGGGGGAGGGGGGGGCGAAGAAGGCCCTCCGGCGCGGCCTCCAAGAGCCGTCGGCGCATCCACGCAGTGAAGCAACTCGCCGTGCGGCCTTCCGCACGAGCAATTCCAATGGGCGCAGCCCGCGCCGTTGACGACCAAAGGTGCAACGACAGCGAATACATTCTCGCATTCTTTGTGGCTTTTGACGAATTCAGAGAAATTAATGGAAATCGTACCTGCACTTTGCTTTATCTGAGGAAAATATTTGGAGCCACTTCCTTGTCCTATCCTCTCCCCTTACACACACACACACACACACACACACACACACTTATGTGCACTCTACTATCACATATGTTGAGAGAGGAGTGGGCGGCTTCGAGCTTGAGGGGCGATTTGCCGCTCGTGGGAGATACCTGGATTGGAACACCCCGTAAGCCGAAGTGAAGGTCGAGGTCGGACCTCGCCATCTCTTGCGGCAAAGCACTCATGGCACGGCACAAATGGCCTTAGCAGTCGATGCGTCTCCACACAATCAATCAACCATACAGTAATGGCAACCGCGGAGGTGGGTAGTGTTGGGGTGCACTTGGCTTCAGTGTTCACAACGTTGTTTCGTCAACGGCCGTGTCTTCCTCAAAGCGAAATCCTCCTAATGAGTGAAAATTGACTCCGCACGCGACGACTGTTTAGGTGGATGGATGTAGGTGGAGTGATGAGGGCCATACTGTCCTAGAGACAGGGTTGAGAATGAATAGACAGAGATTTTAAGGCTGACATGAAATTTTGTTTCTCCTGAAAAAACAGAGTTCGGCTTCGTTTCAGGTTTTGCCGCGGCCGTTAGGAAAGTCTGAGTTTGACGAGTGCAGCGTCGCGATTTCTAGTTTCTCAGTACGCAGTAGAGATAAAGTTATGTAATGCTGAAGAAGAAAAGCGAACAATCGAATGACGTCAAAACGTATGTCAGTGAACAACGCTTGTCGCTAAACCGTTCAGACGATTTTCTCCAAAATTGAAATTTCCCCAATCGATATGGCTGGTGTCGTGGCCTCTTGAACTTGAAACCGATATTTTAATTGGGGGGGGGGGTACTTTACTCGAAGCTCCTGGGACATTTTTTAAATGAAAAAACGGCTTCATCATTTGTTTAAATTTTGTTTTTAGATAGTGTGAAGGTCGTTTAAAAGGTTGGTGCAGTCTCGTGTTCGTTAAAAACTGTAATTTTTCGAAAATTGCAAAGGTTCAAAATTTTTCACCATCTTTCCACATCTCAAAGAATGTATACTGCGATTATTAAATCTGTTTCTTAAAGATGGGTTTTGAAATGAGATCATGTACAATTTTCTGAAAATGTAAGTACTTTTCGCGAGAAAGCCTTAGCGGCGCTAGTTCCGTCGCGAATCCACAGAGCTCCGCCTGCTCCGCTCCAGGCGTCGCCGCTGCGTCAGTTGCGAGCGTCGCGTCGCGCTGCCCGTGCAACGGCGCGTGGGCGGGGCGGGGGCGGGGGCGGAGGGGGCAGGAAGCGTCTCGGGGGCGCAGCCGCGAGGGCACTTCCGCTGGGCGCGGCGCCGTCGTCACGCCTTCGCTGCGGCCCGCCCGCCCCGCCGCCCGCCGCGACGGAGGCACTCGCGCGGCGCCATGGCAACGGGCGGCCATCAGCCCTTCGCCCTCCCCGCGACGAGCTGCACTTGCGCCTTCTCGGAGAGGGAATATCTCACGGCATTTCGTTTCTTTCTCGGTTGTACCGCTACATGTCGCATGACCGAATCGGGCAGTGCTGGCGATCATGCGACATCTAGCGGCACGACTGAGAAAAACATGAAATGCCGTGAGATATTCCATCATGAAGACAGACCCTCACGAGCTAGGAAATAAAAACTCAAGTATATACCTTCTATTCAACGACTTAGAACAGGTGTCCAGGTCTCAGGTCTCAAGGGTTACAACTAAAACCTTTCATATGTTTACGAAAGATATTTTCATTAATTTGATGGAATCAGGTGTAATATGAGACCGTACCACGCATAACGCAGTGAAATAGATCGGTATTTTGAACATATCAGAAAAAATCCATAGATCTAAACTTAACCTCCTTTTACATTAATGGGAGTTTCAAACCCGGCAGGGCGCATGCGCTTGGCGCATAATATTCTCGTCCGACAGGGATGACTTTTGACAAACAACCTATCGCCTAAATAAATTGCTCCGCGGGCCACATGCGTTAGAATATACTACTTAGAGTGGCTGGCCACATGTTTTCAGCGCTCTCGGTGGACGCTCGCAGAATTAAGGTTCGCCATCTTTTCGCAGTTAGAACATGAGCGGTGCCTGGTGGTGGCGTATAGAAGTTGGATACTGAATCAATGTGTTGTTTGTATAAGCTCGTACTTCTATATGTCTTTTTCTTTTAACTGTATTTAAATTATATTAATGTCTAGGATAATAATATTCAAAATTCCTTCATTATGCTCGGCATATAACTGTAAAAATATAAGTAATCGTACCGCAAACACAGTGGACGCCGCTCATTGTTATCACTTCTTAATGGTGGTGGTTAATATGATAACACTAACCGATAGATAACAATAGGCGAAATATTCTAATATAAGATTAACAAATGAAAAATAAATCTTACATCAAATAGTTAGGGAACACATCCATTTATAATAAATTCAGCTGTTCTTTCACCGAGAAAAGAAAATGTATTTAGGCAATAATATTACTCAGACACAAATGAAAGGGAGAAAGCCAGAATGGTATAAGTGACATCTCAAAAATTCTGACAAAAACATGTTAAAAGCACCACGACTTTACAGTGATATTGACTTAAATAAACAGTTTTCTCCATATTTATAAAATGTCCCCTAGGGGCTGTCCATAAATGACGTATCGCAAATTCGGAGTACTTTCAGTACCGCGTCTCCCTCTTGCAACGCGCCCGTAACGCGCGCTTGATCGCCCCTAAATAATTACGAAACGCTTGCAGCAACATCCCCTAGCAAATGCAAGAAGTGAAAATAAATTATAGCATAGTATAAACAATTTGTTCGTGCTGTATATTAAAGTAATTAATGCTAATTAAAGTAGAGATTAATTGGTGATGCTGACTGCACCTAATAATAAAAGTGGGGTAAGTTGTAAGTGAAGGAAAACTGTTTGGGCGACAAATGTTTGATCACAAGCTAGTATGCACATGCCGTCGTGGATGATGCAAGAGCAAGAGTTTAGTGCCAATTTAAATGAATTCTAGAATATACTTCAAATCAGATTTGACTATTTTCTTCGGCATCGTACAGATTAAAAAAGAGTTGAATAAATATTTCCAGTTATTGTAACAATTTACAACTAATAACTTTATTTGTTTTAAAACAAATTAATTAGTGAATATTATAATGTTTTAGTATAGATCTCAAAAAAATGAATTATTACAGCAAAGGTTGAAAATATGTAAAAATAAATATCAAGGTCACGTAACACTAATACCTCTCTACCCCTGTGTAATGCATCGTAACGCTGCCTCAGAGCCCCCTCCCCCTCTTTAACGTTTCGTTATTTATGGAGACTTTATACCGTTCTGATTTTCACCCATTCAAATAATATTACAAGTTCTCAGTAAAACAAATTATTAATAAAGTCTGCTTCTGGTTTTCTCCTAAAATTCCATTCATGTAAATCTACTCATACTCTTTCATGAAATCAACTGATCTGTGCTGAACACCGTGACGCAATATATCTAATGACTGCCTCATTTCAGCCGTTATTGGTGGTTGTGATGTTTCTAAAGCATCATCGTAATTTTTTTCTTCTGTACATACTGCCGGACCTGCCTATCTCATCCACGTCGTCTCGGCTTCGTGAACCACATTGAAAGTTTGGAAGACTGTCAGTCCGTTTGTGAACAAGGCTAGCTGCTTAACCGTTCAGTAAATTTCCTCCAAATTTGATATTCCGCAATTGATCTGACTAATGTCGCGGGTCCTGGAAGTTGAAACTGATATTTTAATTTTGGGGCGTACTTAAAAAGATGGCTCTAACGTTTTAAATTTAGTTATTGAGAACTGAGAAGGACGTTTATGAGAATAGTACAGGTCTCATGTTCGTTGAAAACTCTTAAGTTTTGGAAAATTGTAAAACTGTGGCGTCTTCCTACAACTAAAATAATAAAGATAGTGATTTTTCTTAGTGAAGTCAGTTCCTTAGAGATAGATTGTGAAATAAGGTCATGTACAACTCTTCGAAATTTTGAGTTTTACAAAAAATGACTGAGATGTGTTAATTCGGAGAGAAATTGCGGTATAAACAGTATTACGCAAGTATTACGAAGGGCGAGAAAGTATGCGCTGTTTTAGCACCACTAGTCTTATTAGTGTAACCCGTTCTGTAACTAGTGTAATTCGTTTTGTTTCGGAGAGAAATTGCAGTATTACCCCAGCATTACTAAAGTGCAAGAAAGTATGTGCCGTTTAAGCGCCACTATTCTTATTAGTGTAATCCGTTTGGTTACTAGTGAAATCAGAGATGTGTTCTTTCGTGCAGCATTGCTAAGCATGTGCGGTGGTGTGTGGCGTTGCAGGGCAGCAGCCGCGACGCCGCCGAGGCGGGCCGCTTCCTGCGCGAGCTGGAGCGCGAGGGCTCCGCGTCGTGCTTCCGCGCCAACGCGGCGCGCTGGGCCTTCTCCACCAACGCCACCGACGCCAACCGGCGCCGCAAACTGGAGCAGGAGGCGCTGCACGCCAAGTTCCAGCGGCTGTCGCGCCGGCGCGCCGCCGCCTTCGCGCGCCACGCGCTGCCCGACCCGGCCGCGCGCCGCCAGCTCGCCCTGCTCATGCTCGACGGCCGCCTGGCGCTGCCCGACGCGCAGTACGCGGAGGTACCAACACTACGCCCAAAATTACCCAAAAATAGCCGCTGCAACTAATACCAAGACCAAAACATTCACTACGGTGACAAATTTGGGGAAGGGAAATTGTCTTATGCAAAAGGTTTTAGTCCAATGTGACATATTAGAGATTGTGTAGAATGACGTAAGCTAAACTCAGCTCATGTTGTGATACATGTTTATTAATTTTAATGCTTATACACAAATGCTTTTGCTTGCAAAGTTTCGTGACAAACTCGCTCAAACTGCAACGCGCTCTAACTGTAACAGCTACACCTAATTCTACGAAGGATAAACTAACTTTGACTAATTTTATAACTACAGCAAAACTACTACTACAGCCAACCATGACCGAAACACCAATTATAACTGCAACCAATTCCTTGTCAACACCAAGAATACACCTTCAACTAAGTACTAACTATAAGTACAACAGCTTTAGCGAATATTGTGACCGAAGCACTAGCTATAACAGATTGAGTACATACAATAATACAAAGGCTACAACTATAGGCAACAGCTTCATTTAATAATATGATCGAAACACAAACTACGGCTGCGACTAATTGCACAAATACAATATTACAGCTACAGCAAACTCCAACTACAAGAGCTTCAACTAATACTAAGACCGTAATATTAACAACCTCTAATTACATAACTTCAACAACACTCTCCAAATAATAACTACAACTAACTCTGTAACAATACCAATACAACAACAAATACTTTAACTAGATGATCTACTATCACGACTATAAATATCAAATTATCAACCAATGCTACAAATTCAACAATACAACAACTATCAATACAACTACAATAGCTGCAACTCTACAACAATACCAACCATCAACTGCTACTAATAACTGTAACTACAAGTAATGCATCTAAGGCTTGCGATTGTCGTGTCCCGATTAGCGATGCAGCCATAAGGAAAATCAACACTATAATTCAACGCTCGATGTCTATACCTATATTAGGAATATCGGTACTTTCTCCAATTTCATGATTGTTTCGGGACATTCCCCAATTTCACAAAGATTGTGTGTGATGTCATTGAGGCTCAGTTAATTGTCCCTATACGCACGAGGTAATCCTGATTGTTAAAAACAGTTTTCCATATTTGGTGTTTCGTCCAAAATCGAAAAATGTTATTGTTATTGAATTTGCCCGGTTTTAACGAAACTATTGCCACTTCTCACATGGTCAGGGCCCACTTTATTTTCCGTCAATTTATTCTTCCATTATAACTGAGGATTTTACACTAGTGACCTAGAGCAAACAAAACAACGAAACATTGACCACAAATCATTGACTACAAAACATCGCCACCAAACATCGACTATAGAACATCAACCACAAAACATCGATGTTAAAACACATGGGATTTAATACACCGATGTTTATAACATGGATGTTTTGAAAACATCTACGTCCATGTCGCATACCTATCCACTAGTCCGACGTTCTGTGCTCACCGCCACGTTTGTTATTATATTGTATATTATTTTTGTAGTGTATAAATGATACTGTACAATATTCTTTTTTAAATTCTTTTAACATAAATAAATATTTAAATCAATAAGTAAGTAAGAAAGAAAAAAAAAAAAAGAAGAAGAAGAAGAAGAAGAAGAAGGTAAGAACGGCGCGTGCCCGCAGCTGCAGCAGCTGCTGACGGAGATGAAGGAGGTGTACGCGCACGCGGAGATCTGCCCGTACGCCACGCGCCAGCAGCTGTTCTGCACGCTGGCCATGGACCCGGACGTGGCGCGCGCGCTGGCGGCGTCGCGCGACTGGGACGAGCAGCTGCACCTGTGGCGCGCGTGGCGGGACGCGGTGGGGCCGCCGCTGCGCCAGCGCTTCCTCCGCCACCTCGAGCTCACCAACGACGCCGCGCGGCTCAACGGTAGGCCGACGCCAGCGCCACCTTATCCAGCGCCAGTCGCCTCGTTCCGATCATTTGCACACCCTTTCGTAATATTCATTGCGTTCCAAACATTCTTTCATTCGTTTCAATATCTTCATTCACTTAATTTATTTTTCACTTCATTCGTTTAATTTCATTCATTCGTTTCAGTCATTACAATCGTTTCATTCATGCCATTTTTATAAATCATTTCATTCATTTATTTTATTTCATTTAGTTAAATCGTTTCAATTATTTCATACATTTTGTTCACTCATTCTTGAATTTTGTTCATTTCAATTCTTTTGTTTCATTTTAATTATTTTTCAACGAAATTCACTTTTCACAATCGATCTGAGGTCAAAACCACCTGATTTTCAAATTAATATTTTGATTTTGGGAGTCATTTTACATGAAACCTCAAGAACAAACTTAAAAATTTTCTAAAAATGATTGAGGTTGGGGTAAATATTGTTTCAGTTTTCCGTAATTTTGCCTCAAATATTTTGCCGGCAATTTTAAAAACCCGATATTCTCAAAAATCGCTTCAAATTTCTTCTTTATTATTTATTTTATTCTAATGGTGCGAAGTATCTAGATAAGATGAAACCGGTCGGATTTCCGTTGAACTCTCTTAATTTTTTTAAAATTGCAAAAGTTACAAATAATACGAGAAGGCATGCGCTATAGTATCACCATTGGTTTTTATCGTGTTATCCCTTGTTCATATATTTTCCACAGTCAACGCGTGGATCCACCAGTAATTCATTTTGTTACTCAAACAGTTCAACTTCACCCAATCATCTCCTTCATATCTAGGGCATTCGGTAATTCATTCGGCCACTCAATTGGCTGTTTTTTCATTCAGTTCATCCAATCATCAGAATGTCATTCACGACATCCAATCATCTCCTTCAAATCTAGGGCATTCGGTAATTCATTCGATCACTCAATTGGCTGTTGTTTTCATTCAGTTACTTACACATCATCTAGTCATTGCATATTATCAGTCATTCCGTATCAAAATAAATCCATTGTATTCATCAGACATATTATTTTTATTATTATTATTTAAATGCCTTGCGCCGTGTGACGAGAGGGAAGTATGTGTCGCAGGGTTCGCGGACGCGGGCGAGCAGGCGCGCGCGGCGTACGAGGTGCCCGGCGACGCGCTGCCTGACGCGCTGGCGGAGACGTGGGCGGCGCTGTCGCCGCTCTACCGCCAGCTGCACGCCTACGTGCGCAGGCGCCTCCTCGAGCACTACGGCCCCCAGCGCCTGCGCGCCGACGGCCCGCTGCCCGCGCACGTCTTCGGTCAGTGCGCCCTCTGCCCCGCGCTCTCCGCTCTCCCGCCCCACTGCCCCGCCCTCCAGAGAAAAGCTCTTAGTGCTGCGCCCTGGCGACGAAAAACTACAGAAATCCATTCCTTCCTATATGAAGGAAATTACTTCCTCTTACGCGTTGTAAGAACTAGCCAGAATCCATGTTTTGCGAGTCATTGGAGTCGAAAAATCAATTGACAGCAAACCGTTCATCTGTCTGTCCGGCTGTGGTCATCGGTTACGCCTAAACCGTTCTGCTGAATTTCTCCAAAATTGATATTCCACAATCGATCTGGCTGATGTGACGGCCCCTTGAACCCTCGCCCCCTCTTTGTTTTAACTTTTCCGCATTCTCTTTCTCGCTATTAATATTTTCATTAACTGCAATTTGGATACATTGTTACATTTGTTAGAACATGAGCTTGCAATAAAGTCATAACGTTTCTCGGAAAATCAAAAGTTTTCTGAAAAAATAACCTAAAAATTCCGCTCTTTCAGAGTGTTTTCGAAAATGGCTCCATATCTGTTCTTAAATGTTTTAAACAGATAGTGCTAAATGGTCGGAATAACTGATCTAATGACACTTTGACGTTCTCTTGTTTCATAAAAAAAATACACAAATGTTTTTTTAAGTATTATTCAGCCGTTAATATTCACATTATCCACAATTACTATACATTGTTGCATTTGTGAATCCAATTGCTTCAGATGATTTCCAATGAAGTTTGTCGAAAGCTCAAAACATTTTCTGTGGAAAAGAGCTTCAAATTTCGCTTTTACTGTAACACTTAAACAACTTTTCTCAAAATCAGTTCCCAATTTTTAAATGAAAATTTCCATATGGGTTGAGTTCTTATTGTTCCATGACATTCTTAAAGTCATGTACATAAAATATTTGAGTTAGACGTTTTTATTGACCAATCCTGTGTAAAGCAATTGAATATTGCAAAATAAACAATACATTGAGGCGATGTGAAACACGTCTGCCACTTTGAGAATCATCCCACGATTGAATAGTTGTAAGTTACCATTAGTTCATACAAAACTGTAATATATCTAAGTGGTTCAAAACGCTCTATGGCATCGTTATTTTAAACTCCTTGACTTTTATCATCACCTCGACATTTTATTCGTAAGGCAAAGTCTCACTTTGTTACACAAAGATGAATTCACTATATTTGGGTAAATCCACATAGAACATTCAATTGTTATCATCATTATATTTATGATTAATTTTAAATTCATTACAATCTTGAAGGAAGCAAATATACTCAAATAAATGGTGTGAGAGTGTTTTTTATTAATCCTCTCGTCCATGTTTACATCTTTCAAACATGTGAAGAAAATTGTTTCTTCATTGCGTACGTATTTTTAATGAATCCCTGTATAAATAGGTATTGTATTCAACTTTTGAAAGCGGTTTTGTGGAAGAAGAGGCCCGGTGACCTGAGTCTCGCTCTCAATAAAGACAATTTATTTATTTATTTATTCACTTTCTGTACTAGTTTCGTACTGCGGTACGCTCTGTGATTATTCCATGACGTGTGAATCTATCTCCGCAGGCAATATGTGGGCACAGAACTGGCGCCACTTGTATCCCCTGGTGCAGCCGTACCCGCGCAGACACACGCTGGACGTGACCGGGGAGATGCTGCGCCAGGGCTTCACTCCGCTCAGGTGAGTGCAGGGTGCTTCATCAAACAGCACTGTTATGTCGTTTGTCGAAGTAACCGAACTGTCTATACACAGGATGTCGGAACTTCTCAAATAAGCTCAGAAGACAATTTTAAGCATATTTTATCTAATAAACTACTGGGACATTCCGAATGATTGAAACTAAGCAATCAAAAGTTGGTTCCAAAAAATGCTTTCTATGCAAAAATTTGCATTGTAGAAGCTTAGAAACACTACAGAGACATCTAAATTGTTTATTATTTATAAAAGAAAACTTTATATTTGTTCAGAAAGAAAAATTAACCCGGAAATAAAAAAGCAGTCGACCCTACCGTTTTGTGTGTGTGTGTGTGTGAAAATTAACTCAAAATTCCGTATTTTCAGAGAAGCTCAAACAACATTTTTTTTAAAAACTGGTCCAACTTTTTCTTCAAAGACTTCGAACGGATAGTGCTATGTCCCTTCTTTAATACGACGTACAGTTCGTTTCGATGTATAATTGTGTTTTTTCAATAATTACACAAATGTACATATTTTGAAATATCTCTCACGCCGTTGATATGGAAATTTCCAGCAATTTCTAAAGATTATTATAATGGTGAGTTAAAGTACTTAAAATGGCTTCAAATTACGTTTTTCAAAACTCAAACAATTTCTTTGAAAAAGAGCTTCAAATTTCGAATTTACTTTAGCGCTTAAACGCCAGATTTTTCAAACGGCTCCAAATATTTCAAAAAAATTACTAGGACGAAGTTTTACTTATCTTTAAATATCTTAAAATAATAATTTCGCTCTACAATTAAGAAAAACCGAAAAATTAATAAAATGTGAAAAAATTGTACTTTGGCCGGCGATGAATGGCAGCTGGCAAGAGTATGTAACAAACTGAGACCAACGGAAATAGAAAACTAGTATAGGAGAGTCTGCAACAATCTGTAGCATCACTAGTTATTTCTGGGTTAATTTTTTGTAAAAACGTCGACAAAAAAATCGATATTTTAAATATGATAAAACTCGTGGTATTTATCTATATTACTTATACCATTTCCATTTTAATTATAGTATCTTGAAAAGTTATATTCTATTGTTTGATCTTGTACAAATAATACTTTAATAATAATCAATGTCGAATGTAAAGAAGGAAATAAAAATAAAGAATATCTTGTATGGCTATTTTTTCATCTATAATAGGATAAATCACAGGAGTAAAACACCCTGGATCTAATGTGATATATAACACATAAAGGATGAAAAAAATCATTATTTAATTGATATTTAGAATAGTTTATCATAATCATATACAGCCAAAATTTTACATTTTCACCTCATGTAACAGAGGCTCTGCAAGTGTTCAAAATGGCTTCTTCTTGCTTGAATGCAAGGTAGGCATCAGTGCCGCACGTATTCCATGGTTCGCACAACTTTGCAGGGTTGAACCTTCACCGTGTTACACGAGCTCAAGCGCACAATTTAAAGTTTAACTTTAATTATTTACCAAACTAAACGACAAGAGTATCCAATTTTGGCGAATTCAGTCTGCAGATTACATATGGAATAAGGTCCCAGCGTATTAGCAACGAGGACTGAATCATCCTGAATTACTCATTTCTCTTCTTCATTCGAGCTAACTTAGTTGTTTCGAACATTAAATGGTTGAAATATCAAAATTAGATATTCTGGCTTGCTAACAGTTGATAGTACGAAGAAAAATTAGTAATTCAAATACCTTAAGAGTAAATTTAACAAATAAGTGACATTTCAAAAATTCAATTTTCTCCTCTATATGTTAAATGAAAATATTCAGAACATCGTCGTGGATGTTGGTCACATTATTAAACTATATTGTAATTTCTTATCTGTTAAATATAACTGAATGAAATAATAATAATAATAATAATAATAATAATAATAATAATAATAATAATAATCATTTAGCGATATTTTGATCATTTATTGATATTTTCATTTTGCAAAATTAAAAGGACTGCTGTTGGCTAACAAATTAATTTCAAGAAAAAAAACTGACATTTTAGCACTACAAGACTATTGGCAATACTAACCTAAAAGTGAAGTCAAGAGTTTGGCGCGCCGCCATCTTTTATATCTTTCACTTGGCTTCACCCGCAGGGGCAGCAATGGCAATGTTCTTCTATATGTGTGTGGTTTGAACAGTCTGAGAGCTGAAGGGGCCGTGGGGGTGCAGGATGTTCCAGGAGGCCGAGGCGTTCTTCACGTCGCTGGGGCTGGCGGCCATGCCGCCCGAGTTCTGGCAGCACTCGATGCTGGAGCGGCCGCTGGACAGAGAGGTCTCTTGCGCCGCCTCCGCTTGGGACTTCTGCAACCACAAGGACTACAGGTGCGCTCCCTCCTCGCACAGGTGGCTCAGGGCAGCGACTCCTGTCGCTGGACTGTCTCTGATCGGGAGATCCCGACGATGGCAGGTTTTCGACACTAGCTGCATAGCTAGATGGAATTCAGCCGCTTTCTCAGGGAGAATTCTAGCGAGCGGCTACTCTGATCGGTAGTTTTACGTGGTTTCTCCGAACAGCACCAGTCGATTGTCGGAGCAGTTCTTTAACAAACAGGCCACAGATAATGCACGTTCTTTCCTTCCTCTTCCTTGCCCTATCCTCACCCTTTCTTACACACACTTACCCTCACATGCACTTCACTACCCCACTTGTCGGGAGATCAGGGATCTTAGAGCTTGTCCCGGCCGGGGCAGCGCTCCGCTGCTGGAGTATCTCTGGTTGAGGAACACCCTGCAAGCCGACGTAGGTCGCATTCCGCCATCCTGCTAGGAAAGGTTACTTCCCTTCTCAAGCATGTTCTACACTTACGGGACTAATGACTTCACCAGTTGGCGCGCAATCACTAATTAATCAATCAGTCCTCGTTATTTTCCTCTTATTCCACATTTCCTCATTATTTTCCTCGACTGACGCCACCTTCCCTGGTTACCCTCATCTTTTTACTATCTTCCCACCTCCCCCCATCCTCCTCGTCTTCTCCCTCCATTGCGCTTTAATATCTCATTACTCCGTTTTCTTTTCATCTTCTCCCTTCCCTCCTCTTTCTCATCTCTTCACTCTCCTGTTCTTTCTCCTTTCCTCTCTCGTCTATTCTTCCTCTTTATCTCCTGTCTCCTCCACTTTTCCTTCTCGTCTCTCATTGTGGGACTCATGGCCTGTCCACGATGCGCCACTGGGGAGTCCTAGAAGCGGAAATCCTGGGACCCGACTTGCAGGTCAGCTTCCGATAATACGTTCTAGCGGGGGAGGATCAAACAGAAATTAAATATATACACTACACTTACAGGTCCCAAGCAATTAATACACCCGGAAACAGGAAATACTAAATCATCGATAAAGGACCTTCTGCCGTTTCACAAATTAAATACAAAATGTGTCAGTGTAAATGCTACTAACTTCTAGGGCACAGAGAGGGGTTAAACGTGTTCACTTTTCGTCAATGAACGTTCAGTGTTAAATTTTATATTACGGAGTTATATTCATTTATTCATGTCGCATTTGCCTCTGATTTGAGAGAATTTCTTATGTACGGTATGTTCGTCAGATCTGGTACACCCGCAGTGAAGGACATTTCATGTGCCCGTCGAACATCTGTGCATACAGAATAGCCTATGAATCAGGGGCAAATGGCAGATGTCAAAGTTATTTTGCACCCCACTACATGACAAAGAAGTTGTTATCATTTATTTCGTGACACCCTGGCTGCCTAATAGTGTGCCAAACAACATGTGCATGCGCAGGATCAAGCAGTGCACAGCGGTGACGCAGGAGGACCTGCTGGCGCTGCACCACGAGATGGCGCACGTGCAGTACTACATGGCGTACGCCGACCAGCCCGTTGTCTTCCGCACCGGCGCCAACCCAGGTGCGTTCACAAACCACCCATCTCGTACTTTGACCGATCTAACGTGGTCGACAAACCCTGATGCGTAGACGGACCACTCACCACGAACTTCAACTCTTTGAGCGCAAGTACCAACACAGCTGTGTTCGCAGACCACTCTTCTCGCACTTTAACTCTTTAGGCGCCGGTGCCTAACCAGGTGCATTTATAGACCTCTCATTTCATACTTTAATTCTTGGGGCGCCGGTATCAATCTAAATAGTTTTCAGACTACTCATTTTGTTCTATATTCCTAGAATATCAAGATATTTTCTACACTATAATGGTCACTTCATTTAATTATCAAACACTGTCAAACAGGGTGAGACTGTGACACATAAGATGAGAATGTGCCAGACTCTATTTCTTGAGATATTCGCCCCATATTGACAGGTATAAGAACTTGTCTGTTTCTGTTAACTTGCACAGATAGTTCTTAGTTCAAAAAATAGAAAATTTCTCATACCTGACAATATGATAAAGAATATATTTAGGGCGTGTAATAAGGTTGAAGATTTTTTGCCAATGAACATGCGGTGAGAAAGTTTATATATAATTTCATTCAATCATCCGTCCATTCTATACCTTCAATAATGAAGTTGCACACGTGGCACTTGCCCCTGATGATTAGGCAACTGTTTGTGCATTGATGTAGAACAGGATAGGGGCAGGGCAGGCCCTCATGCAGCCAGATGTGTTCCTGCATGACGAATTGCTTAAGTTCGAAGCAAATGTTAGTTCGATACCTTATCATATGAAACATCGCACTGCATATCATTAGCAAAATGTGGATATCTTCAACTCATCTATACGCCCTATAAATTTGTAACATTTATCCTGAGACACATAGTACAAGTAACTTTTCATAACATTAATGCTGTTGATGAAAGAAATATATTTCGCTTCACCCATTTACTGCAGATCAATTCAATTAATTTTTAATTCATTTGCAAAGCGTGTACATCTTCACCCCTACTACATGGTAACTTTTATTCAGAGATAAAATGTGCAAGTAATTAAGTGCGAATGTTGATAAAACATTTCCCTTCATAGGTTTCCACGAGGCCCTGGGCGACGCGATGGCGCTGTTCGCAGGGAACCCAAAGCACCTCCAGCGCATCGGCCTACTCGCCAACATCACCGACGACCACGGTACGCCATTGGGCAGCACGCCCCGCCCCGCCCCGCCCCGCCCCGCACGTCCCAGTCGCCCAGCAGCGACTCTGGCCGAGGCGTCGTGGGGCTCCGGCGTTAGCTACATCGCTAGGTCGTGTTCAGTCGCTGGCTGCTCTGATCGCTAGCTTTACGAAGTTTCTCCGAGCAAGACCAGACGAATGCCGGAGAAATATACCCTAACAAATGTATGACGGACCGTCCGCAAATTTTCCTTGCTCTTCCTTGTCCTAACATATTCCTCATACACTTACACTTACGTGCGTTAGACAACATTACCGAACATGTCGGGAAGCTTACAGCTGGTCCCGGTGCATCGCTTGGAGAGGAAATCACGTGCAAGCCGACGACACATGTAACTCGGCACCCACACAGTGACAGGTACATCGCCTCATTCCCTACACGAACGCGACTAATGACCTTAGCAGTTGATGTGCCTGGTACCGTCAATCAATCCCACCACCCCTCCCTGCCTCCCCCACACACTCTCCGACCACCCCTCCTGCAGCCCCGGCTCGCCCCGGCGCGCGGCGGTTCTAACTGGCCATCAGTCAAAAACTCCAACTCCGTGCTTAGACGCTGTTTCCGTCAAATCATGTACAGATGTTGTTTGTGCATCATATTCCAGCGTGACAAAGAAATTCAAACCTTATTTTCTTCTCGTATTCGACGGGGAAGTTTGCGGTATCTGAAAGTCGAAAAATTTGCGAGCCTGTGAAGCAAGTTTCCGTCAGTAAAAACGATGTTTTTTAACATTTTTGCGTGTAGTTGTCTGTATTAACGAATGGATAATACATCTGAAGATAAGTTAAATATCTGACAAGTTTAAGGAATCTATGCCCATGTTTTCCCTTTTAGAGGCAGGTGAAGGGTGAAAAGCACGTCTTCCAAGACGTGCTTTTCACCCTTCACCTGCCTCTAAAAGGGAAAACATGAGGATGTAAGCCCTTACCCCCCTTGATCACATAGCCTCCCATAGCATCCCATAGCACTAATCACTGATGTCATTGCAGAGTCGCAAATCAACTACCTGATGGGACTGGCTCTTGAGAAAGTGGCTTACCTTCCTTTCGCATACATCGTGGACATCGTAAGTATTCTCCATTCCTTTCCAATAAGTATTAAATGTTGAACATTAAAAAATAACATGATTTTGAAATCATACAAAAAGTAATCACAAACATCTCATAGATTTTCATGGCATATGTAACGGTCACATAATATTATCATAGATCCAAAACCAAGGGCAGGCACCGCTTGTAAACCTTTAGCTACAGTATTTTAATTGTTGTTAGTGTATTGTTTGTCTGTTAACAACTTGTCGTCTGACCGCAAACGTAAAATGAAATATTGATTTAATGCAGGGGTTCTCAACGGCGTAGGAATCGACTCCCTGGGGGTCGATAGAATTTTGTGTGGGGGCAACGACGATAAAGGAGCCGATTGGGGGTCTGTAGACGAATACGAAATGAGTCTCCGGCAATTGTTAGGTATATTCAAGATCCTAATGATTACAAAAAATATTAAAAGAACCAGATAATTTATTGTTTTCTGATTTAGAGACAAAATAATATAATAATATAAAATTTTTAATAATAGGTTAAAAAATCGCTCTTACTTTGTATTCGTAGTTCCTCCTTAGGTTCAGGGCCGTAGCTATCGCACCGGTTGCCTGACGTAAGGGGTTCTTAATAAGAGTCCCCGCGGACGGATATCCCCACGGCAAAGAATAAACACAATTCACTCCATGCATATCTTCTGCATTTCATTAGCCATTTATTAAGGCAATTAGATTAAAAACTTATTTTCAAGTTTATTGCAGATAAGGTAATTTCAGAAGGGTATATTGTAAGAAGAAAGTAAAATAAGGTAATTGAAGCCAACAATTCTTTTAGAAGGGGTCAATACACGAAAAAGGTTGGTACCCTTGATTTAATACAATAACTATTTTAGTCACAATATTTTTGTTCAGTTAGATTTTTTACCGTTTGAAAAGATGTTTCTTGTGTGTTAACTGCTTGTGGCGTGACCGAGAATTCAAAACGCAATATTTGAGTACTACTATTTTCGCTGCGCTGTACGCCGCGTCCACTCGTCATGTGTGTGTGTTGGGGCAGTGGCGGTGGGGGGTGCAGGCGGGCCGCTGGGGCGCGCACGACATGAACGCGCGCTGGTGGGAGCTGCGCCTGCGCCACCAGGGCGTGGTGCCGCCCGTCGCCCGCGCCGAGCACGACTTCGACCCCGGCGCCAAGTACCACGTGGCCGCCGACATGCCCTACGTCAGGTGAGCGCCCGCGCCGGCGGCCTCTCCCACGCCCACGCCTGCGCCCACGCTTCTGCTCACGCATGCGCACACACCTCCGCTCCTACGCCCACGCCTGCGCCTGTCTTCACCTGCGCCCACGCCTGCGTCCACTCCCACACCCACGCCTGCGCCCCTGCTCCCCTGCCAACACGCCTACGGCCTCTCCCACGCCAGAGTCCATCCCATGCCCACGCTTCTGCTCACGCCTGCGCACACACCGTCCTCTCCCACGCCCACTTCTACGCTCGCGTCCACTCCCATACCTACGCCTCTGCCTCCGCCTCTGCGCCCACGCCTTCGTCCACTCCTACGCTGGCGCCAGCGCCTCCGTTTCTGCAGATGTTTCGTTTTAACGCTGGGATCCCAAGGGTCCGTCTACTTCGTCTAATCTATTTCGCCTTTCCCCATTTGCCCTCATCCGCTACGTCCGAACTCTTTGAGTCCGCCAAGGGCTGCTGGCGTTTCAAAACGCGCCGCTGCTTCTGTACCACCCCCGACTGACGCTTGGCTTGCGCGCTGCAGGTACTTCGTGGGACTGGTGCTGCAGTTTCAGTTCCTGGAAGCCCTGTGCCTGGCCGCCGGCCACTACGGGCCTCTGCACGAGTGCGACATCTACAGGTCCAGGGAGGCGGGCCGCCTTCTGCAGTGAGTACCTGTACAAGGAGCGATAAAACTTCATTTTCTCAAATGTTGACGCACCGTCAATAGCTTGTGATGCAAAACGCTAATCGATTGTGAGAGAGTATTTATGGTGTTTGATCATGTCCACTCATTGGACCACTAGTCATGTAAGTGTAGCGTGTGTTGTATCCTAGAAGGAGGCGGTGTCATCCCTCTAGAAAGTAAAATGCGGCGCCACAGTAAAATCCACATACACGTCAGCGTGCAGGAGTTTGCCCTCAAGGTAGAGGGGCGCCGCCCCAACCGAACTCCAAGCGCCTGCCGCAAGTTGTATAGTTTTGGTTGTAAATGCGGAGGTAGGGGAGAGGATAGGACAAGGAAGATGAAGGACAGATCGCGCAAGGTCCGTGGTCCTTTTGGAAGAATAGTGCTCTAATATTAGCCTCGTGTTCATCGGTGAAATCTCGGGAAACTACAGGCCTCCGCGCGAGCAAATACGTCCCAACTGATTCCGTGAGAATCGGAGTGCCATTTATTTAACAATACTAATTAGTTTTCAGGCATGATAAAGTGAAACAAGAGCTCCGACGCGAGAATGGCTGAGATGTGTTCACCCGTATTGGCCAAAGACCCAAAAAGAAACCAATTTTCAGCGCGCACTAACATCCTAACTGTTCATCAGAAAATTTAATTTTGTAAATAATTATTTTGATAATACGCAGTTATGAAGTTATAAGCAAAAAAACTATAAACCGTTTGACTTGTTAATTTTTTTTTATTTTATTATTTGCGATTTTGTAAAGCTGACATTCTTTGAGGTAGCAAACATCAAATTCGAATTTCACACCTCAAAAACATAAAAAACCGAACTTCTGGAAATTGTTTTCTAGATCGAGCCATTTTGAGCACTAATAAACTGGACGGATATTTTCCATCCAATTCTCAAATACACTATAATAATTTTCATAGAGTTAAAAAATCTCTATGAAAGTTTCTAAATTTTACTGGAAACAATTGTCCGAGGATTTGTTAGCAGCAATTCAAGCAGCTGCGACATCAGCATCGATTGGGGAATATCAATTTTGGAAAAAAATCGACAGAACGGTTTAATTGCTACCTTAGCTCCATGTTCGTCGTTGAACACTGATTTTTCGAAAATTTCAAAAGTTCAAACTTTTTCGGAGTCTTCCTACAACTAAAATGTTAATGATAGAGATTTTTTCTTGTAATGAAATCTAATCATTAAACATAGATCTTGAATTTTTTTTAATTTGAGTATATTTCGCGGAATTTTGCGTGAAAATACGGGTGAGAAAGTATATACTGTTTTATCGTCACTAGTTTGTATGGATTCTGGTTAAACGCATTAGTGGATTTTTTTTTCTTCTACATGTAACTATATTTATTCACTTTTTCGTTATCAGGACCCTATAATAAATTTTCATTCTGTCAAAAATTCGCCGATTTTTCGCGCTGCATCACATAAATTTCTCTCTACGGCGTAGCGAGAAAGAAGACACACGTGATCAACGTGATTTTATTTTGCTTGAAGAATTTCGCCACTCAGTCTATCGGACTCGTGTCGCAATCTTTCCTTCTGGCAAAACGAAATCTCTCTTTTACCATTTGTATTCTAAAAAGTATTTTGCACAGCCCCTAATATAGAGAGATTACTACAAGAAGGGACCGTTTTGGCCACTGCAAGGTGCGTCCATGCACTCGTTTTGTCAGTGCTTTCGTGCGCCGTGGCGCGTGCGCAGGGAGGTGCTGCAGGCGGGCGCGTCGCGGCCGTGGCAGGAGGCCGTGCGCACGCTGACGCGCGGCCGCGCCGCGGGGCTGGACGCCCGCCCCATGCTGGACTTCTTCCGGCCACTGTCCGACTGGCTGGCGCACGAGAACCGCGACGAGCGCCTCGTCGGGTGGACGGCCAGCGAGCAGGATCACGGTGCGCGCCGCGCCCCCCCCCCCTTCCTCACTAGCTCTAGGGCTTCTTTCCTCCTTCTTTTCTATTCTGTCTAGCTTCCTTCTCTCTCTCTTTTTAATTTTCTGTTTCCCTTTCTCCGTTCCGCTCATTCTCTCTCCCATTTGCTCTCTAGCTTTCTTTTCTATTTTGCTCTCTCTCCCACTCCCTCTCTCTAGCTATATCTTTTCTCTCTCTCTCTCTCTCTCTCTCTCTCTCTCTCTCTCTCTCTCTCTCTCTCTCTCTCTCTCTTATTTTGTTTTCTTTCCCATTCGCCATCTCTTTTTTATTTCTCTTTCTCCCTTACCCATTCCAGCTTTCTATTCTTTTATGAATCTGAGAACATAATTTCTAATGAAGCTCGAGTGGTAATTTCTAAGACTATTTCACTTACGAAATTTTAGCCAAAAGCTTTCATGAGTTCAACTTTTACCAACAAATCACAGACGAATTATCCACACAATTCGATACCGTTTCAACACAACCTGCTCAGAAGTAACACTTACTGCTATTTTGTTTAAAGTATCTTATAATATAATTTTACTGTTTGTGAAGACTATTCCACAAACAGAATGTATTATTTTCCTCATTCTTCTGTTCTTTCGTCCTTTTCTTATTTTTCCTTCCTGTATCTATTTTATGAAATGTTTTTCCCAATATAGGATATTGCATTTCGAAACCAAAATAATTGACACAAAATATCAGGATACGTGACTTTCAAGATAAAACTTCAATAGTTTAGGAGGACACACATTTTGTGAGATGTTTATCACACAAAAGAGGAACATGTGTCATGTTTCCAAGGGTTTCCGAAATAATGAGTTAACTACAGTTTTTTTTAATTTGAAGAGCAGTATTGTCCTTTCCTTTTACTGTAATACGCCAGTTTTTTAGCTATTTTATTCAGTGAAAAGTCAGTTGACTGGTATGGAATTACATTGAATACGTTTTATACAAAACGCCGCCCACCAAAATAAACATACGAATATATTTTAAGTGTACAGCTTTTGTGATGATACGATTACCGCTAATTTGGAAAAAATTAGAACCATCTTTGAAAAAAATTAAAACATTAAGGCTTAATGTAAAGTGCCCTCAAAAATCAAAATATCCGTTTCAAATTCGCAAAGCCTCAAGTTCGTTTAAAACGATCGAGGATTATTAATTTTGGTAAAACGACTGAGTGGTTGCAATGCTAGAATTTTATTTTATATTCCCTCGTTTCACAATAGAGAATTGATCTTAAATCACGTAACACAAACGGGGAAATTCCGAGTATGCGAACTTTTACATTAAGGAGTTTTACCGCCACGCGTAAAGTAGCGACGTTATGGACTAACAGTCACGTGACAGACCTCGAAGTTATAACGACTTACCTTAGGCCTAAGGTGCGACCTTATACCTTCGTAAATAGCGCACTCCTGTAGTAATCTCTACGGTCATCTTCCAAGCGGCAAAATGGCCGCCTAAAAGCAGGAAAGGTTGCAATTTTCCAACTCTACAACTCTGATAAAGCAATTCTCGTGCTTCTTTCATGCCAAATCCACAACTTTGGCAAGAATAAATGGAAAATGTTGGAAAGGTGACGGGTATGAAATTCACGAAAAAGAAGTTTAAATACCCTCGGGTTAGATTTTCTTATGCTCACAACAAATGCCGACTCAAATTCAAGTATTCATTCTCATCGCCGAGGGCCAAAAGATCGAAAATGCTATGTGGCGTCGATATTCACGTTGTACTTTTTCCAAATAATTGATAGATAAAATAGTGCAATGTGACCAAATCACAGAGGCATAACCAAAAACAGGACGAATTCAATTTTTATATAGAATTAATAAGTTATCGGTGGATTTGGTGTGGCGCAAAATCAGACCCAGGGAACGCAAATCTTTATTTACTGTAACAGTAATATGTATATCAAAATCAAGTTTAGAGTCGAAAATCACTCCGAGATCCCTGATGATAGAGACAGTGCTCAGGGACTAGCCATTTCAAGAATATGCGTAGCTCACGACATCATGTACCTGGACAAAGGTCATTGCACAACGCTTATCAGTCTGGAGTTCCATTTTGTTTGTAGAACGCCACTGTGAGAAGACAGAGACCCTCCTATAATGGGTAAGCGTCATTAAAATCAGTGGTCTTGGCATCGTCAAGAAACAATAAGATCTTACTATATTTGATAACAGATGGCAGATCATTTATGAAAATATTAAACAAAATCGGACCTAGATGAGAGCCTTGAGGTACGCCATAACTACAAATGGCTCGGATGCATGGCCATTAACAACGACATACTGGCTTCTGCCCGAAAGATATGAGCATGTCCATGATAGGAGTGGAGAATTAATGACTAAGTATTACAATTTTTCAATCAATATGCCATGATTAACACGGTCGAAAGTCTTGGCAAAATCTGTGTATGCAGCATCGACTTGAGAACCGGATCCAAACGCTTTAATGATATAGTTTTAAAAAATAGATTGGTTGTAGTAGATCTGTTTTATATTGATATAAATTATTTCGGAAACGTGTGATGCCAAATCATTAACCACAAGTTTCTCGAAACGTTCTGATGCAGTACTGAGAATGGAAGTAGGACAGTAATTTGAAATATCACTTATATCTCCTTTCTTGGATATGGGACAACTTTACTATATTTCCAAGCAGTGGGCAAAATCCCCAGGTCCAAGGATTGGTTTAAAATATAACATAGTGGTGGTCCCAGAGCAAATTTGCAATTGCTCAAAAAACTATTGGGATCTTATCTGGTCCAGCACTCTTACCAGAGTACAAATGACTTAGAGCAAGAAGAATTTCAGATAGCGTGTATTTGAATAATGTTGAAAGTCAGCGGTAGTAGTTTGAATGTTTTTAAAACCTTTTTTTAAATCGATTGAAAAAATGTGTTGAAAATAAGGTGGCAACTTTTGAATAAGCACTGCAGCAGTTTGTACCCAAATGCATAACACCAGGAACTGAGGGTGCCTAGTAGACGTATTTATAAACTTTCAAAAACATTTAGAGTCCACAGAAGCAGATAGTTCAACTTTAAGTACATAAGATTGGAAAAAGACACGCTGTAAATGAGACACTCTCGAACGCAAGGCAGGAAATTTAACGTAATAATCGGATCTATTAGTTTGCACAGTTTGTGGAACTTTTTTTTTCACTGATACAGCCAATAAGCTTCGAGAAGTACCAACACGGATAAGAACTGACAAGAACTGGTTTCTTCGGAACAAAGTGATTTGCATTAAATTATAAAAAATTAATTATTGTTTTGAATTGTAAAATCATTTAGTATTCGCTCACGACTGCTGAAATAGCTCTTGCTCTTTCTTTACCTCTCTCGCCCCCTCACCTTTTTTTCCCTCGCTCTCTCATTTCTTTTACATTTTATCTAAATAATAAACGGACGTGACTTCCAGCTTTTTTTGTACACATTCAGTATCCCACAATACCTATCACCATTATCAACTTTAAAGTTCCGCAAAATTTGAATTTCTATTTCATATTTTAAAAATGCCATTCAGGAGTATGCTTACATGTTTTCAATATCTTGCGGAGTTAATGCCTGATGAAATGGTATCGACTCCAAGTTAATTATTATTTTGTCCGACTCCAAATTAATTATTATATTAATATGTTATTATTATTTTGTCTGCCCTGCAGCACTTTTCGCACCGCTTCACAGCGGCAGTTTCGCCAAGTCCTCATCGTCCGCAATTCTGCTTCTGGCAATCAGCCTAAGTTGCCTGCCAGGACTGTTTCGCACTCTGTCTTCCAGCTGGAGAACTACAAAGAAAGTTCTGCAAATGCCCACTAGATGTCGACAGATTTCCAAGCCGCATGACACCTGTTTGTGTGGACAAACCCAAACTGCAGAAAGTGGGTGAAAATAAGAAGAAAAAAAAGGGAGCAATCGCAATAAATTATATTTTCCAGTTTGTGAAGAAATAAATAGACCTTCACTGTATCCTGACAAACTTCCCAATCAATCAAATAATGGTTTGGTTGAATCATTCAGTGAAGGACATACTTATTAAAAAATGAGAATATTTCTGAAATATTCGTACTTTCTTGTAACCAAACGAAAAGGAAAGATGCATTATTTTTCTGTGTAGTATATTAATTTAGGATAATACATAATTTCACAGCCAAAATCTACTTGACTAAAGGTTAAAGTTGATACTGTGGAAAATATTGGATCGTAAAGATACTACATATCTTAGAAGAAAACAATAGATTCTTTGTAAATAAACAAAATGAGAAGCTTTGATCTTAGACATGCAGACAACAAAAATATTTAAAGTAGAATATTAAGTCATAACCCATAGTTGATATATGCTAAGGATACCTCATCAAATTTATTTTCAATGTAGCTTAAATATTTCACAAAAGATAATTGTAACCAATATTGCTCATTTCTAAAAAATTCTCTTTGATATTTATTAAAAAAAGTCTTAAGTTTTATATTTTCAATGTGGACAGAAACCAACAAATAAGTTAAGTAGTAAACATTAAATAAATGGAGAAATGGTAGGAAGTAAATTGCAGGTGGCAAAAAGTGTTATTTCTCCAAGCTCACATTTTGATATTTCACAAGTGAAATAAAAAAAAAAAACAACACATAAAGGGCATAATTTTGTACTATTTGCATCATATTGATATATGATAATCAAATATTTATGTACTATGCAATTTAAGAAGGAAATAAATGTTCTTTATACTACCCCCAGGTCACATGTTTTTTTCTCTCCACCCCCCAACTCCTCTTGAAGAAAGAACTGTGAGTTGTAACATGCCAGATCCAATGAAAAGATCAAAAGTCTTTTAATGTTAATAAAATATACAGGCTAAATAGCCCCATGAGTCACCACAGTATTGGACTCATACTCAAAAATACATATTCAGGATATTTACGCTAATCACCCTTAAGAGAAAAATGTGTTTGTTCTTAACAAAACAAAAATAAAGCAATATTTCCAATTCAGCTTCAAATCTTGAAGGCATAATTTTTGTTGTTTCATACATTAAGAATATTACACTTTAGTTTTCTAGAATATTTAAACTGAGCTTTCTGCAAAGAAAATTTAACGTTACAAATTTTGTTGTTAATGATATTTAGTGTTTAATTTATTAAAATCTGTGTATATTGAAAACACTAATGTGTTGAGGTAATCTGGTAATGTCTTGACCTCGGCTAAATCAATATCTAGCATTCAGAATCTTGCTTGTAGATTTCCATTAGGATGTCTGCCTTTTGAAGGAATTAAATTAACCAAAGAAGTAAGTGGGCCACATATATGCCAAAAAGCAACACATGGCGTTAATGGGTAGACATCAATTTCCATGTAGTTATTTAGAGTATCTGACAATTGACAAAAAGATCAAAGAAATCTCATACTGCATATATCTACAACATAATCATATTTCAGAAACATTTTATTTACAGCAGTTATTTACAATTTTCTCAATATAATGAAAATAAATATTCCTTTACAGAGAGTCCACCTCTGCAAAATCATTGTCAGTAGCAACATTGCTTTTTTTGCTTTTCCGTGCTTTCTTCATTTCTTCTGCCAATTTGGAAAGGTCTTCTTTCTAAATTAGCATTAATGATCATTAGATTTTATTATTATTAGATTTTATAACATCAACATTTGATACCATATTTTACTTGTATAAAAATATATTAATAATGGTAATTTGAGACAATGGTACATTTTAATACTGTAAAGGAAGTTAGTGTCATCTTTACAGACATTTTTTTTATGTTTTAAATGTAGGTAAAGACGATAACAACTTCAATTATTTCAATACCAAGAACACAAATAATTTCAACCAATTTGTTGACATTTGACGTCAACAAAGTTGACAAAGTTATAAATTAAAAATGAAATGCCTAATATGTATCAGTACAATATAGAATTGCAACACTGTCATTTTCCAAACACCATAATTTTTGCAATCAAACATTAGCGAAAAAGAAAAAAAAATGAATAATTACCAACTTCTCATTATGTCGCACTAAAAGTTTTATATCATCAGCATTTATTGTCGATCGTTTAGCATGTCTGTCAAATGAATGCCCAGTTAGATACGTCACACAATGCTAAGAAATTTCAGAATATATTAAAAAAGGCTTTGCAACTTGAAACTAATTTACTTAAATACTTACTTAGCAAATAACTCTAAATCTTCTGCAATTCGTTTTGCTTTCTTCCAAATCAGCTCTGAAATTAAATCTGTTGCTGCTTTCTCCATTCCCAAGCCCATATTTTTTGCAGTTTCTTGACATACATTCTTGACAGCTTTGTAACAAGTTATTTTAAGTTTCTACTTAACAGAATTATTGAGATATAAAGGACATTCTAGAACACAATATTGTGACACTTCAATATTCAAATTTATAAAAATACCTTTTCATGGTCAATGTTTTCCATTTTATATTGCTTACTACAGGAAGATGCAGAACTGAGCTAGGCGGATTTCAGATGAAATTTTGTGAACTAAACACTATTTTCTACTTTCGGCAACATACAATACGCTTTTTCATCAAAATTAATATTACATTTTATTTCCTCTGTTAAGTTGATACAAACATAAAGCAGTGCATAACAAAATTACCGCTAAATGCACTTTTATGCACTTCTTGCACATAACCTACCACCCTAGCTGCCACAGTTGCACACCACACACAACCACACTTAACTCAATATCCAAGCACACAACAGTGACCTGTAGAGCACCGAGCACTCGAAAGAACACCATTTCCCGCCATCCCACAATATTGCTCTTGTTATCGATGTTACGTTTTAAATTCGATAATTCTTTTATTAATAACTCGTATAAAGAATTTCCTCATTTCAGAATAATTATTTTTATGACAAAATACATCATGTAAACACGATTTATAAGAAATTAAATAACCAAAGACATGAATTACAAATGGAACAAGTAGCACATTTGAAATAGCGAGCAAACTGCTTCGAGTAATGATAAAGATTTATCCATTGAAAATACTTAAAAGATACCGTTACAATTATTTTACACTATTTTTATTATGCACTATTGTTGGTGAACTTTCAATCAAAAATTTTAAAAATATCACGCTGCGGACAGGATTCGAACCTGTGCGGGCAAAGCCCATTGGATTTCGAGTCCAACTCCTTAACCACTCGGACACCGCAGCTTGTCTTGGGATGCGTCAAACTCAATAATTTTAAATAACAAATTAAAGAAAAATTTTCATATTACAATAAAATTTGATTTTGTTATATATTATTGTACTTAGGAATTTGAAAATAGTGAAATTGGTCATATTGCTTTCCTTTGTTGTAGACCTTATAATACAATCTTATTTATCACTCTCATGGCAATATTAGTAAATACTAAAATACTTAAATAAAAGAAATACCTATAGATAACAGGTCCTGTTTGTTTCTTGTAGTTCCAACTTAGTTACTTTCCATCCAAAACTTAGTCATTCCGAATGTTATCAATACACAATTAAGGAACAAGTGAGTTATTTTAAATATTCTTATTTGTATATTAATTTTTTTAAAATATTTCTTACAAAATTAAATTATTGAGAGGAAGATCTAATGATTTCTAATAGACATGTAATTTGTTTCCAATATCAAAATAATTTTTGAGTTAATGGTCATTAAATCATATGAAATACTTGCCAACTAAAATTAAACAAACTGTCACTTTTAGTGGACCTTGGACACTTTTGAGATATCTCCTACTAAATGAGATTTTGAAATACAGTACCTATTTAAAATTACAGGTCAATAACACATTCTTCGGTATTGAACTTGAAGATTAATAATTATGTCAATATTTATTGAGTCAAATAAGCCTATAAAATTTCAATTGTGTTCTGTGAATCTAGGAAATAGTAGAATAATTTAGTACAACAAACTATAACAATATTGATAACAGAAAAAATAAAATAAAAATCCCTGAAATATTTTTTGATATAAAGAGAAAAGAAATTCCTGGTCAGTTCTTCAATGCTGAGACCTTTTTCAACTTGTGCAAATGAATTGCACTTACTTTTCACAGAGGAAGGCGTGTTGATTGCAGAACAATTTTCACTGGAGGAAATGTTTGTTCTTGGAGTTTGCTCTTGGAGCTGTATACTACTGAAGCATTTCTCTCTCTCTCTTTTTTTTTTTTTTTTTAAATCTATAAATGAAAAATGGGAAAGGTTCTCTTTTCATGTATGTACTAAAACAGAATGAATCAATAGTCCTACAGAAGTTCATCTTACAGTTTTGAAATCTCATTGGAAACTTAAATTTAGCAAATTCTTCATTCTCTTCTCCCTCACACATCATAGATTATCATAAGTCATACCATAGATTATGATACCATACCATAGATTATCTTCTCCCCCAAACATCATATACCATTTTTATGGTTTTTTGAATAAATAAATCTAAGAATCCTGTGTTTATTTATGTTGAAGGAGAGCATATAATCTTGGTATATTACAAGGCAAAATATATGTTCAGATGATAAATACAATTATTAGAATTTGTATGATAGTTAGATAGCCCTACTCTCCTTAGACTGCTACACTTTTTATCCTAAGCAATAAAAATTACTATTTCTCTGTTTCATTTTATTATTGTTATCATTATTACATTCTCTAAACTTAATATGACCTTTTTTAGGGAATGTATTTTCATATAATTGCTTATCTCTGCCCATGGTCAGAAATATATGAAGTTCTCTTTTCTATCTGAGTTTGAGATTATGGACGCTTATTTAAACATTTTGAACAGCATTATATTTGAGGTGTACTGCATATTCAAGGTTTGTTTCTTTATGTTGTATGAAATTGTTTTATTATGATTAGGCTGAGTAATAATATATTGAATTCCCACAATTTGCTGTAGATATTTTTTCCCTCTTGACTTTGTCATCACTGCTCAAGCAGTGTAGAGAAAGTATTGTAATGCTGTGGGAAAAAACAGTGAATTTTCAACAGAAAAACTTTTTGGCAATGAAATTGCAGTTAAATCTTGTCCCTACATATCATATATTAACTCTTCTATATATATAGTAAATTAACTTTCATTATCATGTCGTGAATCCATGTTTTGTGGGTCCTTGATACTGAAAAATTGATTGACATCAAAAAGTTGGTATGTCTATATTAATTAGTATTATAATATAGGTGGTGTTGGTCTGTCCAACCGTATTTTAATTTGTGGGTTTCGGTACTTTATATGACGTTCTTGGAATATTTTCAAAATTTTCAAAGGGAAAAAACGGCTCCAAATTTTTTGATTAAATTTTGTTGTTGGATAGAGTAAAGGATGCTTAAGAGATCTCATTATTATTGAAATTTCAGATTTTATGAAAATTGAAAAATTGCTTTGGGAGGGGGGGGAAGGATCAACACCCTACAATTGTAAGCCTATTATTGAAGATAAAGATTTTTAAAAAAAATCCAATCCTTAAAGACAGGTCTTGAATAAAGATCATGTTCAATTTCTTGAAAATGTGACTAGTTATCATGTAATTTTGTGCAAAATATAGACAATTTTAAGAAAATTATCATTTTTTCTCAAAAACACTTCATTTTCTTTTAACTCTTTCTTTTAGTTTAAATTTTTGCTGCTTAATTTTCTTTTGAGCAGAGCAGACCAAGGTAAACTATAGTTGAATTAGCATATATACATTGCTATCCTCCTTTCCAGATCTGAGTATAAATTCTAGTGTCACAGATGCTTTAGATTTTATTCATTACATTAGACATAATACTGTCAAGAATTTATGTCTAATGCCGATAATAATGCCTAAGTCCATTATGGATGCCTCTTCCTCAAGTTGATGCCTAGGAAGGTAGTATACTGCAGGTTGTTGTTGGACAGAATGAGAGGACATCACCACCTACATTCAGTTTTAGTTTATTCCTCTATCACCAACTGCTAAGCATGTCAATATCTTGCTAGAGAATATGGAGAATTAAAATATTTTTAAGTCATCTGCATATAACAAATAGTGTTTAATTTATCACCTATGTCATTGATAAAATATTGAACAAGATCAACCTAAGATGTGAATCTTGTAGAACACCAGAGATTATTCTACATTCAGTTGAGATGTGACCATTTACCTGAACTTGAAGATATTTTCCAATCATATATGAGTGAAATCAGCCCCGTGCTTTGCCCCATACTCTGTGTGAATCGCACTAATGTAAGAGACTATCAACACTGAAAGATACCAGATTCCATTGATTTGCTGAAAATGTGAGGTAAGGGTTCAGAGAGGCTAACAAAACAATTCCTCAGAAATTGTTGGGTATTTGGGTGTGGGTATTTTAATTGACATGCCCTAACTTTACAAACTATTTTCATTCTTGTAGCAGATGCTTTTTCCATGACTTCTTTCAATTGTACATCTTTAAATAATTTCATGCACTATTTTTTTTAAAAAGTTGAGTAATTGTTGAGTAATAACATTAAGATGAGGAAATGTTTTGTTTGAGCGAGTGTTCTGACTAGTTTTTATTTGCAGAACCAGAAAATTAAGCTTAATTTTGATTAAAGAATAGTTAGTATATAAATTTAAGTCTAGTAAATTTAAACAAAATGCTAAAAAGAATAGATTTTATTGACTTTGATGCACATTTGTCACCCTCTCTAAGTGCTTATTGCACTTGTAGAGAGAGATGAGTTACGTTTCTCATTGCTGTTCACTGCCCACTCATACTTGGGGAGACACAACCAACTAGCAAAGATTGTCCATCAACAATTGGCTCTCAAGCATGGAATGTTAAATAGTGAAGCTCCTCCATATTATATATACAATCCAGCACCTATAATGGAAGCAAATAATACCATCATTTACTGGGACAGACCCATAATAACAGATAAAACTGTGGCCTTCAATAGACCAGATATAGTTTTGATTGACAGGGACAAGAAAGAAGCTATGCTTGTTGATATTGCCGTACCGTTGACTCACAACCTACAGAAAACAGAGGCTGAGAAAAATACTAAGTATGAAGATCTTGCTCTGGAAATAAAAGAATGTGGAAACAACTACTTCTTTCGAGTCAATGACATCTAAATTCTGTTTCCTAAGGTCAGGTCATCTCTGGATACACCATTAGGGCAGTCTGGGCAGGAAAGTAGTTGTGGTGGAATCAAAATGGGGATTCTTGATCCAGAATGACTCAGTAATGTGCTCCTGCAGTGCTGAAGAAATAATGGAACATCTACAGAGTGCAATAATATATCCACTTGCTATTTCAACTGAAGGTGTAGTAACAAACAATTTTAATATAACAACAACAATAGTAATAATGCCAAAATCTTTTAACATATTTCAAACAAGCAGAAATAAATATCACCCAAAATATGTTATAAAGTATTTAAATAATCTTCAAAGCCACATTCATAACGTGATTTTGTTGTCAGTGTTTATTAATTTTAGTTCATTCTGAGGAGGGCAGCAAAGAGAACATAGAACACAATTTTTCAGAAGCAAATTAATTTTTCCTTCTGTATAATACCATCTATACCTTCTGGAAAATAATTTTAATAACTTAAGTAAATTATGTTTGTTTACAATCCATTTTGCACCTCTAAGTGCTTTGGATCAAACATATCCTGAAGAGGTTTTTATTTCAGGAATTCTAAACAATGCCATATCTGTACTGTGATGCCAAAGTGATACAATGCCATATTCAATAATAGACAATCCGTATCCTCACTGTGACCATTTCCTTAGTGCAGTGGAGCAATCTTGCTTCTTGCCACTTGAATTTTTCATTGTACA